TCGTTTGCATTCTGCTCGACTGCGAGATTCGCTCTGCTCTACAAAAATATTCACTCTGCTTGACTGCACTCTTAATTCAGTTGAGCAAAGAGTCCAATATATTACATTTCTGCAAGTCTCTCTGCAAGACTTTGCCCATTTATCTAGACTCCAGAAGATTCAGCTGGTTCCCCGAAACAAAACCATGCTGATCACTGTCAGTCTGGTGATGTTATGGTGGTACTCCACCAGGGTGAAAAATAAATCACCAAATACAGTGAAAGAGGAGGACACCAAACAACTACAGATCACCAGGAAGACAACCAAGAGACAACTGGAGTGGCATTTCACAGAAGGTAAGCGCATTATTGTATCATCTGTACATCTGAGCATATACCAGTCATTCCTGGTGTTTGGTGCCTTTTGGGTATCATAAAATGTAGAAAATCAAAAACTGTTTTTTTTGTGTGTGTAATCATGATAGGAAGTTGTAAAAAATGATTAAGATCAAGCTCAGGAAAATAAATGTTAGCATTTATGAAAATCAGTCTGAAATGTGAGATTAAAAATGTCCAGCCTGTTAGGGACATAACAGTTTAAAAAAACTTATCTGGTGATAAATTGGTCATTTTTTTTCTTTTCAGATACAATTGTATAAGCAACATTTTTGCTTACTATTAATACTTGATAGATATACTAATATTAATTATACTATTGATATTTTAAAAAAAATTGGCACTGAATTATTAGTAGGCTATTTTTTTTTCTACTTACTTTTTTTCTTCTTCATATTTTCCGTAATAGAGTGGACATGTTGAGGTTGACCATATCATGGTCACACTAAAAACTGTTAATACAATTAAAAAAAAATCTATACATAGAAAAGTATCACATATAGAAGTATTAGGTATATATGTATACAACAATGTGCAATCAAGCAATATTGAACATTTTTATTCACAGTAACCATTATTCAGATAACAATAAAGTGGATCCAATACTATAACAGTTTCTACTCTCTTCTTCTTTTGACACAGGATCTGAGACTGCCACTACCTCTGCAGCTGACACTGTCTCTGGCACGGACAGTGCACATGAGACTGCCATCATCCCTGAGATTAACAGTGCACCTGAGACCGCCATCATCTCTGAGACGGACAGTTCACCTGAGACCGCCCTCATCCCTGAAACGGACAGTGCACCTGAGATCGTCATCGTCCCTGAGGCGGACAATGAACCTGAGACGGACAGTACACCTGAGACCGCCATCATCTCTGAGACGGACAGTTCACCTGAGACCGCCCTCATCCCTGAAACGGACAGTGCACCTGAGATCGTCATCGTCCCTGAGGCGGACAATGAACCTGAGACGGACAGTGCACCTGAGACCGCCCTCATCCCTGAGACGGACAGTTTGGTTGACTGAATGATTCAATGATTCACTCATAAAGACAGTCACTGTTGCCATCCACTGGTGTAATGACATATATGCTGGGATATTAATTGTAATTGGCAATTACATACAAATTATTATTTTGCATTGCTGTAAAACTTTAATGTTGTTTGTCTGGCAAAAGTTTTAGCTCGAAACTGTTTTGGAAGGCAGAGGTGAACCTTGGCTAACAGAGCCTTGAGCCCTGTTATGAATACATTAATAAAACACATAAGAGCTTGACTCACATGGTTGCACTGCACAACAGTTTTTCTTAAACTAAAACACAAACACATCTAAACAAACACAACATACACTGACACATACACAGGTTAACTGGAAGGTGAAATTAAGATTGAATGAACAAAACCGAAATGGAAACAAGGGAAGAAAGATCAGAAAAAACCCATATACACTGGCCCATAGACCCTCCCCTCAAAAGAAATCAGGACAGAAGTGGTCAAAAGTGTACTTAGCCATTGTGAAAAAGAAGCATGCTTAACTGTATTGAATGTGCACTTGTGATGTACTTCAAATCTTGAAAGTATATTTTAAAAACTGTATTTGCAGATAAAGAGACATTATTTTCATAATCATGTTTCTTAACACACTTAAGTTCACTTTTAAAAAGCGCTCTGTGCAATAATGTCAAATGAAACATTTTATTTTAAAGTACATTTTAAATCGTTTTTTAATGATTTAATCTTTAAAAATTGTAATATTTTGTCATGTTAAAGTACACTTATTTTGATGTGTTAATACTTAAGCAAATGTAAAGTACTTGATTAACATTTTAACTGTAGCGTCGTTCAATGTTGCATTTAAATTAATATATTTTAAATGTACAAAATTGCAACTTGATCATTACAAATTCACAATTGCAAATATATTTAAATACAAGACATACAAGTTTCAGAAGAAATGACATTAAAGTATATTTTAGCTTACCATAAATGCTTGTCAGTACATTCAGCAATTCCCTTTAATCATATTTCAGAGACAATAGAAGTAATTATAAAATGACATATAAAGATGTATTTTATAAAGTCCTACTTAAGTGGGACTCAAAAAGCACTCTAAAGTTAATTTGCATTTAATATGCTTTTATGTAACATAAGCATATAGTTATTTACTTAGGCTATTTAATATACTTATATTTAACTAACTTAAGTTACATAACTAATATTTAACTTGCATTTAATACGAACTAAAATGCAATCTCATTTAATTAACATGCGCTTAACACTGCTTTCAGTTTGCACAATTTAAACTATATTATTCCCATAGGTTTGATTAAAAGTATGCTAAAATGCAAAAAGGGCTGGTAATATATTAATCAGACTGATTAATTTGTCATAATTAATTAATTGTAAATATCACAACAACAAATATTTTTGCCTCAAAATCCATTGATGCTTGTCAAAACATTTAATGGGATAGTTCATGCAAAAATTAAAATTGTCATAATTTACTCACTCTCAAGGTGTTTCAGACCCGTATGATTTTCTTTCTGCTGCTGAACATAAGATATTTTGGAGAATGTGCGTAACCAAACAGCTGATGGACCTCATTGACTTTCACTGTATTTGTGTTTAAATGCACATTTAAAAAAAAATTAATTAAATAAATAAAAAGAGAAAAAGAAAGAAAAAGAAAGAAAATTTACTTTTTAAAGTTACAGGCGTTAAAACAAAAAAGTTAAACTTTATAGATCGGCAGTGCTCCCTATAACATTTCTAAAACAAAAAGACTTATGTGTACTGATTCAGGGCTCTCTAGCCATATTAAAGCTGCAGTCCGTAACTTGAGGCGCTCTAGCGGTTAGTAAACAGAACCGCATGAGTCTTGCGGAAGAACGTTGTAGCCGGAACTACTTCTCTGTTTATGTCTATGACGGATCACGCAGGTACCGGGCTACTCCGCATATAAAATAGTCCGAATATAAACACTTAATATAGGTGTACCGTAGTGATTCAGGATAAGCCAAAAACACGGTTTGAAAATGGATTCATGGTGAATTTATATACATTTTGTACATTTTGAACACAAAAAAATTACGGACTGCAGTTTTAGGTAATCCTGATTTCTCACTGATTCTCACTTTATGATGTTTTACACTTTATGATGCTTTATGATTCTAAGAAGTGTTTTTTTTTAATGACATTTAAAGTTTTCTGTTTTCACGTTAAATGTCGCTTGGATTATTGTAATCTAATTTTATATATTATCTAAGGTATTCGAAGACCCTTCATCTACCAAACCATCGTAGAAATCAAAAGACCGACAGACGGACTGGATCTTCTAAATGACTTGACTGTCTGCAGCGCTCTGTGAATTCACTCAGAAAGAGCCACTCGATGCCTTATTCTCCACCAGATGTTGTGATCAAACAACGTTTCAAACGGAAGACAGACAGTGTTTGATGGATGGAAAATCTGTTGGGATTGAGAATCTTTCATAAACGATCAATTATAGGGATGTTCCACAGTTGGAATGAGTCCGCAGTTGTTGCTGTATAGGTACATTTTAAGTCGGATGAAAACAGATATGATGCTGCAATAAATGTAGCCTACTGTAATTTATATGAGCTATAGCCTGTGTGGGCTGGCTGTGGGTGAGAGGCGGAGATTTCGCACATGTGGGTGGGGTTGTGGACGTGGGGGAGGAGTTCAGATTTCAGAAATATAGATTCATGGCGTTGTTTTGTTAGTATTTTCTATAAATAGGGTGGCCGTACTGTGCTTTTCAAAAATTAGGACACTGGCCTTGGGTGACAGGATAGGGTGGTATATAGAACCACCCCATAGCAAAAAGCATGTCAATAGGAAAGTCAAAACCCAGACAATTTAGCAATTTATAAATCCTGACTGGAGGCCTTTTTAAGTTCTAAAAAAGAGGACATGACTTAGAAAAAGAGGACAGGTCACCCTATCTATAATTCTAATGAGTATAAAACACCCACTGAAGTGTTTCTAATTTCACCTGATAAAAGGAATGGTTCTAATCTGTTTATCACCAGTGTAAAGATGTGCAGTCATCATGTGAAAGCAATGTTTGTTACAGTTTCAGATACTGTTAGGGTTAGGAATGCAGTGGATAGTATTAAGTATATACTAAAATACAGCAAGCAATAGAATTTTGAGCAATAAGCTTATTTTTTCTCTTTTTTTGGCATTTTAATTAATATTCTGGCAGTAATACCAGGTGCATTTTTGTGTGTGAAGTATCCAACGTTTTCACTTTGTATTGAATTGTTTTATTAAAAAGGCAAAATAACCATATTTATTAGAGATGATAGCAAGAATCAAGTATACAAACATTAAGAGGTAACAAATGTATAACATACTACTGATTGAAAGGCATATCGTTGCATAACAAGCATTATTTTACATTGTACTCTTTTTTATTTTTTATATAAATAATATTTATAATATAGTATGCCATATTCAGTATATACTGCTCAGTATGCAGCCAGCATCACGCAATTGCGAACACAGCCAGTGTCCTTGTTTGAGCATGCGTGCATGGTGACAAACCCACGAGACTCCACCTTCCAGTAACAAGAGGTGATTTATCATCAGCACACACACAGGCGACAGAGAGGCACAGAAACCAGCCGATGCTTTCACAAAGCCAGTGCATCTGATGTGAAAGTGTTTTATTCTGCGCGAAAGGATTAGAATAAAGATCCACGCGTGGGAGAGCACGAGAGAGAAGACGGCGTTCAGTTTGCAAGTGGGGAGCAGCGCAAATGAAGCGATGGAGACGGATGTACTGGTGCATGTGATAAATGCATGATTGCATGGACGCTTTTTCGTCGAATTCAAACGGGCGTGTGCGACTTAACAAAAACAAATCTATGCAATGTTGAGTTAGAAATATAGCATGCTCTGTCAAGTTATGCATATTCCGTGATAAATAATGCAGGCTGGTTTGTCAGCTTAGTATCTTCGTTGCATGTTCAGAAATTTATCAAAGCACCTTTTCCCAAATTTTTACAGTTTGTTAATGTAACGCAGATAATGGCTTCCTGACAAGGACCAAGCAACCAATCCAGAGTGCCAAATGCAAATCTGATAGAGGGCGAACTGGAATTGGAAATGGAAGACAAGCATTTCACAACCTACCGTTTCCAGCACCACGGACAGCGACTATGAACAGGTTACGCAGGAAAGCGTGTGTGGCTCTTCTATTATTCACTTTGTTTATTTTTGGTACTATGATGGGCCTACGAACCCTCAAACCCACTGATGGCTTCTCGGATCTTGCTCCAGGAATGGAGCTGATGCCTTTGGTTGGAGAGCGAATGGACCAGAGACCCAATCATGTAGCTGAATCAGCGGGTCAGAATGGTGGTGTGGGCAGTGACACTAAGATAGTGTTCTCCAACTCTGGTCCCGACCACAGCATATTCTATGACATTCATATCTTCTATTATTTATGGTATGGCTCGCCACAGATGGACGGTAGTTATATACACTGGGACCATGTACTGGTGCCACACTGGGACCCCAAAATAGCTTCCAGTCACCCTAAAGGACGACACAATCCTCCAGATGACATTGCGTCCAGTTATTACCCTGAACTGGGATCCTACAGCTCCAGAGATCCAGATGTCATTGAATCCCACATGGCGCAAATCGAGGCTGCGGCTGCAGGTTTTACGGCCAAGACACAATTTGATGAATTGTGCTTCTCATTTATTATATTTATGTTTCTTTGGCTATTATAGTACAATGTAGATGGTCGTTCATCATTAAAAACCTTAAAAGAGAAAAAATGTTGCTTGTAGAGCAATGTATTTCCACTTTTGATGCCAGGTGTGGTGGTCCTGTCCTGGTACCCGCCTGGTGTGGCAGATGAACATGGCAAACCCACAGAGGATCTAGTGCCAGCTGTAATGGACGCTGCCCATAGACACAGTATCAAGGTAACTGGTGAGAGATCAATCAAACTTATCTGCTTACACAAACACATGGTTTATGGAGTTTTATTCTGATGTATTTGTTTTAAACACTGTCAGGAAAAAATGTGAATGTGTACTGTATATATATATATATATATATATATATATATATATGGTACTCAAATCTGATTGGCTAATAAGAGTGTTGATATATTAGAGTCCAACAGAACTCCAACAGCCGTTTCACCATTTGTATCACTCCGCTTGCCGAAGTTGCCGTATTTCTCACAGTGAGTGTCATGGCGGACGCCCATATCCACTATAATGACGAGTCAGCAGTAAAGACTTTATATTGGAAGAACGGAAACGGAAGTTATTTTTACTTTTAACAACAGCTTGTAAGACATAACCAACAAATGCACTGAGCGGCGCTGTCATCAAATCACCCTAAACAGATGAAAGGATAGTACGAGCCTATCCGTTAATTAAACTAATGTTTTATTGAGAATATGAGATTGATCTGAAGAATGAATGCTGGATTAGATGCAGGTAATTACGATCGCTTAGTCAATCTCTCTCTCATAATACTCTACTCCACATAATACACTGCTTTAATACAGTAATTTAATAAGCTTTTAATGAAGCAACTCAACGTTCCTTCGTTACTAGTTCTAAAGTGACATTTTGGAATTAGTAACGGAGGCTTGGACTCAGCTGTTAAACTGTCACCTTCAGATTTGAATCCGTGGCGGAAGGAAGTAGTTCTGCACAAAAGAGGGCTTTTAAAGACACTCCTTTCTTGTTCCTAATTTATTTACACACTCGTGTCGTTGAACTGTTAAAACGCAATATCACACTCGTAGATGTGAGATATGGCTGTATATCGGCATGCTGTGATTATATATATATATATATATATATATATATATATATATATCTATATATATATATATATATATATATATATG